AAAAAAAATCAAAACATCAATCTTAGTGTGAAGTGATCCTTTAAATCTTTGAACATACATTAAATTCAGAGTGAAGTGACCTTAAACATAATGACATACCAGCATCTGCTATGCTGGCATCCACAAGTATTACTCGTTTTACACATGAAAAAGACATTTTTAATACATTTGCAAGTTACTGCACAAATAGGAAGAGACATCTCTATTAATATAAAGTATAACCGCACAACAGAAAAACAACAGTATGTTATTAGACATCTGCTACTTCTAAATCACTGGTGATGGCTTTCTTCTATTTCAGGGAGTGTCCAATGCCTTTGTTACCATCTACAGAAAAGAAGGCTTAATTGGTCTTTGGAGGGGTGTGAATGGGGCTGTGCCTCGAGTCATGGTGGGATCAGCTGCACAACTGGCAACCTTCACCTCGGCCAAGGACTGGGTGTCACACTCCCAGGTAGATGTGATGCACAGCTGACATTTTAGAGCACATGAAGCCAAACGGTTACCATCATGCCATCAGCCTATGGTCAAATTCCACTTAATCATGAGTTTCTTTCTTTGCTTGCAGTGGTTTAGTCCAAGCAGATGGCTCACAGCTTTGATAGCTGCCACCATCAGTGGCGTTGCCGTGGCCATCACTATGACACCATTTGACGTCATTAGTACGAGGCTCTACAACCAGCCAGTGGACGAGTTTCACAAGGTGGATTTAAATAATCCGTTTTCATAGAATGTGTCCTTGTTTTCAATAATGGCATATTAATCAAAAGCTGTTGGTGACTTACTGTTTTTTGCAATCTGCCTTTAAGGGACGCCTGTACCATGGGTTTTCAGACTGTATGCTGAAGGTGTGCCAAGCTGAGGGCCCGCTGGGGTTGTATAAAGGCATGGGCCCTGTGTTCCTGCGCTTGGCCCCACACACGATGCTCAGCATGCTGTTCTGGGATCTGATGAGGCAACAGACAGTGAATCACAACCAGAGCCAGGGGAGAAGCTAAAACATCCCAAACACCTGGGGATCACTGAAGTCGGCTACAGTAGTCGAGGCTGTCGAACAACTGACAAAACACTGAATAAAAAAAAAAAAGCTTGACATTTTGGAAAATATGCTTATTTGCTTTATTAATATGAGTTAGATGAGAAAATTGATACCACTCACATCTGGAGGTAGCTAGAGCCAGGCTAGCTGTTTCACCCTATTTTCGGTATTTATGCTAAGATAAGACAACCAGCCGTTGACTTTAGCTTTATATTTACCATACACACAATTGTTATATGCTGTATAAGCGTATTTCCCAAATTGCTTTGAGTGGGACTTGGTCTGTTTCAGGAAGCAACGACGTTGGATGGACATTCAAGTAACTGATCGAGACGGACATGTGTTATATAGACCCTGACAAACATTCTGAAAAGTTCCTGTTGAAATTTACCAGCATATGAAGCTGAGGAACTATCAGGTTATATCTTAAAATACCTCAAACAGTCTCTCAGGTGTTCACTTGTCAGCTTTCAGCAGAGCCTAATTTAGAGAGAGGAGATTCTCTCAATGAATTGCCGATGACTTGAAGAAGAAGTCTGGATTGTTAAAACACAAGATCTGTTTTCCATGTTTATAATCCAGTGTGGGAGCTTTAATCCCTCCTGGTTTAATCCAGAACTCTTGTAGACTTGTCTGTTATGTAAAGAAATCTGTCTAATGGGAATGATTTTATTCACTGATCATTTAGTGTTTTTGTATCTTCTGGAGCACAAGAGCTGCATCTTTGAAATACATACAGTATCTAAGAGGCATGGCAAGTAAAGTGGGATTTTATTTTGACCCAGTTAGAAGTTGTCTGTTTGCTTAGTAAACCTAATCATTTTTTTGTGAGGACTTTCAGCCCATTTCATCAGAAAATGAGTAGACTGACAACCACAGTCTAATCACACTTAACCTTTGGAGCTGAAGAATGGAGCGCACTCAGACCTGATCAGCAAGAAGAAATAAAGCTAATGTGAACCTTTACCTTTACCAAATCTTACAGGGCTTCAGTATAAGCCTTGTTTGTCACTGTTGTTTCTAACCAGGTTTCAGACTAAGTTAGTATGAGGTAGTGTCAGTGCTTTTTATGTGTGTCCCTGTGCTCATTTAAAAAATGTTTCTCCCCTTCTCCTGGATCTTGGGAACCTCTGATTCGACTCCTTTTGCTTCAAATTCAATTGACTGCTTTCTTCAAGGTTGGTTGACATGTTTTTCTTGATTGTAGGTATAAAAACCTTCTATAGTTTTTTTTAATCCCCATTTTCAAGTATTCTGCAATGTAAAGTGATTTCTCTACATACATATTTTTGGTTGCGTTTAAGGTCTTGTGGGTGCATGTGGAATATTGGTGCTCTGCAGTCTGCTGAGAATTTACTACTTTGTTCAGTCATGTAGGTGAGTTTATGCTTAAAAAAACAAAGTGAAAATGTGGTGAACTTTGAAGAGCAGTAGAGGTATTCTCTAATTTTGTTTACACCACTGATGGAAGAAGTACTCAGATCTCTTAATTAAAAGTAACAATACATGAATGAATGCAGGACTTTTACTTGTAACAGTATTATTAACTAACTATACTTAAATTATTGATAGTATTCATTATGCAGAATGGAACATTTAACATTAATATAGATCATATTATTGGATTATAGTAACTTGCATTATTGTTCATCACATTTAATGCTGCAGCTGGTAAAGGGGGAGCTAGTTTTAATGATCTTATATGCTTATAATTCAAAGTACTATTGGGTATCTTTTGAATTTTCCTCCAAAGATCAATAGTCTTATGATTATACTGTTATTTTTATTAATATGGTTCTGAAAAGTAACTAGTAACTAAAGTTATAAAAGTAGTGGCATAAAAAAATAAAACACTGGCCTTTAAAATGTAATGAAGTCAAAGTGTGGAGTAGCACAAAATAAAAAATATCCAAGTGCAGATACCTCAGAAGTGTTCTTAAGCACTGTAAATGTACTTGGTTACTTTCCACCACTGCTTTCCACACAGTGATTCTGAAACTGAAAGTAAACAGAGGTCATCCTCACCCAGCTGGAGAACAACGCTCCAGTTCTGGTCCCTGACTGTCCTCCTGTCTCTGGTGGGCTCGAGGGTTTCCTCTCTCCTAGTGCTAGAGTTTGCTGTCAGAGCTGTTTCTGCTTGGGCATCAGCAGGACTGGTGAGTTTTTCAAACAGGTGACCACAGCTGAAACTGAAGAACTGCAGCTCATTTTACATCTATTTCAGAGTGGTCTGGTGTGGCTTTTGTTTTTTTGTGTTCAACATGTAGACCATTCTTACCCTAAACTGACCTGTTTTCATCTATGCTCCTGTATGTATCTTCACTCAGGATGCCGGTTGTAGAGGCCTAGACCTCCTCCTGATCCAGTGCCAGTTTTCCTTGGGTTGCGGCCTCACCTGTACTCTGGACTTCCTCCATAAGGGGGCTCCACACAGCTCCTTCAGCTTGTTTCTGGCAGCTGCTCTGAGCTGGAGACTTGCAAGCACCAGTCACAGTCTGTGGAGCCATGTGGCCAGACTCTACCCACTGCATAGCACGGAGCGTTACTGTGGGAAATGCATCAGTCTTCTGACCTCCGGACACACTATACTGACTTCACTGCAAAAAGTGGTTGTCTTGGCTTTTGCTGCAGCAACTGTGGCATCCACTGCTACAGTTTATGAACACTTCCTAATCCAGAAGGATGCTCTGAAGTTGTGGACTCCCCTGACACTCTGCTACACGATGCTGGTGGTCTATGTTCAAGGTGGTGGTCAGGACAGCTATGTGGGAAGTGAAAGTGAACCTTTTAGGAAGACATGGCATAGAAAAGACAGCAAAAAATTCAGATTATATTACTTTGGTTCACATGTACAGTGTCAAATAACAGAAGAGACACCAGTGATGTCACAACATGCATAATAAAATACATAATGCCACATCAAGAATAACACTAACACACAATCTGAGAGGACAGAGGCTGAAAATGGGTCCATCTCTAAGAAATATGAAATGAGACCTTAAAAATAACCAATAAAAACTGTACATACAAAGCATAAGCTTATAAATGATATCAAATCTCAGAAAATGAGCAGACACAAGACCTTTTGACATCACTGTGTCATTTTTATTTTATTTATTTATTTATTTTCTGCAGAGGATGAGCAGCGTCGCAGTGGCACAGAGGCCCTCTTGCACGCTGCAGTGTTGCGACTGGCAGCCTTGCTGGTTCTCATGCTGACAGTGGGTGAATGGTCTGATGTCCTCCACGTCCTCATTGCTTTCCTGGGAGAAGCCGTCTGTCTTCTGCCTTCTCAGGACCTACTCCAAGCTGTGTTAAAGGTCTGTATGAACAATTGCTTCCTCTCAAAAACTGATTCCACTAATAAAATCATTAGAGAAATATTTATGCTGCCATTTTGACAGCATGGCCATGTCTGTATTCATTGTGTAACTTGTTAATAATGTTGAGAAATGTAAATGACATTTAATTGTCGTGCTTCCTTTTTAGGAAGAAGAAGATACAAGCTTGAGAAAATATAAACAAAGCTCTAGTCACAAAACAAGGGAACACATGAGATGATAGATGATGGTGTGCCTGACATCTACCTCAAATACCAGTAACTATACAGTACACTAACATCCAGTATTACCATCAAGAAAAGAATTACTGTGGCCTCATTTTATGGCATAAACTGTGTACTGACTGTTACTGAACGCCACAGCTGTGTGAAACAGAACGACTGTATAACTTTACACCATACTGCAGCTGCTGCTTTCTTTCCTGTATTAACTAAAAGATTTGACCCATGCTCGGCTCAGAAGATTAGTAGCTTCAGCAAGTGATTCATGAAAATATTTATGAAAGATTTTTCTTTGCTATGATGTACTTGTGCATGTTACTATACCTTATGTAATAAAAGACCTGGATGAAAAAGGGACTGATAAACTAAATTAAATGTATGTATGAATTTCTTTTGCTATACACCCTAGTTATACCAAGTTGGGGTAGTTTTAAGAAACAATAGTGCAAAAAAAATCTGTATAAAGCTGATAAAAGGTGTAAAAAGATAAGAACTACACTAAGAGAAGAAGAAGACTTCTGTCAAGGGTCAGAAGTACTCTGGATCTGAAACGTTGAAGGTTTTTGATGTACCTTTTTTATATGTTACTTTTCTGTTAGTTTAAAACAGTTTTGACTTTGAGAAGCTCTTTCTTTATAAATCACACTCAAAAAAGCATCGATGAATAGCAGAGGAATCATAAGGATGTGACACGATGAACTTATGTCACCCATTCAAGGAGCCCTCCACCAATTTTAGGCGAGATCAGTCCACTTGTATCGAGGACAACTCACCTTATGAAAACAGTTGTAAAATATCTTCTTTGACTGTAGATGGGAGCTTTGTAATTTAAAAAATCTGTCTCTCACAATTTCCCCTACTTTATTGTTGAAATACTCCTTAGTACTCCTCCAACTTTTACTCAGTCATCTTGAAAAAAGTTACTTTTCTGCTTTTACTTGGATGATTTTCACCAAACCGGATGCACGTTTGGCAAAGTCACTGAAATTCATTTTTAGTTGTATTATCTCCACTTCTGCAGATGTTCATAGTCAAGAAATCCACAGCAAGTGTAAATGTGAACATGCAGCTGTTTTTCTTATCTACTCTTTTTTCTGTTCCTTTCCTTTCATTCATTTCACCCTCATTCTATCGTTGTTCTGCGGGCCCACCAAATACTGTAGTTAAAAACTGAGGATTCAATTTATAAAAATGTCCTGTTCAGAGGTTCAGTGGGTTTAATGAGGATTTGGGGTGTTGGGGGGCGGAGCATGGAGGTCTGGGGATTGTATCATCAGTAGGCATGCTCCCTCCTGTAGCTGTGACATCACTGCAGCATTCCTTTCCACAGAGCTGGAACAACAGAGACCCCCATCACTCTCCTCATCTCCTGTTAACTCTCTCTCACACATACTCCCGCCTCACTGCCCCTCCACAAGTTTTACTCAACAGTTAGTTTCTCAAACCAGGGAGTTGACCTCATAAGGACTGGCTCCAGAAACTAACCACAATATTTGTGATTAGCAGGCCTGATATTGCTTAGACTCGCTCCAGTGGCGAGCGCCCAACACAACAAAGCTTTATCACAGCTCCCACAGACATCGCTCATTGTTTCCCTTCTCTTAATATACCAACACTTCCTCTCGTTCAGTGCCTTGGTTCATTGCACTGCGGAGCTTCTACCACTGTATCGTTGAACACAAAAGCTTCATCAGGAGAGTCTGGTGAAGTTCTCCACATATGATCAGACATTATAGTTCTGTGCTCCAGAGGCACAAATGGAAACAATGCCATGAGACGCTGATGGTGAGTCAAGGCTAAAGTGATATAATGTAGTGGGGGAAGGGAAGAAGGAAAGAGGGAGAAGAAAAAGGAGGCAGACTCATTGAGGGAGGTAGGAAAATAAAGCTGACAGAACAATAAGGCAGAGCTGCACAGCAGAGTGAAAGAGGACGGTTTGAGATAGAGAGTTGCTAGAAAAGGCAGGTACAGTCACATCCTGCTGGCAGGAAGAAGATTAAGAGGTGGGAGGTGGCTGTATGTCAGTGCTTGTGTGTTAACGGTGAAAACCTTATCAGAAACTTTATGGTACTGTATATTGCATTTGTAAAAAGTCAGACTCTTTGCTTTTGGTACGTTTGCACAGCCTCACATGACTCAGTGTGAGGCGACGTGCATACGGACATGCCAGTGTGTGTTTGCCAAGTTTTCATAGTTATTGAATGTGTCATGTTTTACTGCACTTTGCCTGAGATCAACTGTTCACCTTTTACGGCTGGGAGGGAGGTGGTATTGTCATTCAGCCAGGGGAGGAGGAGGGGTCAATGGTCGAGAGCTGGGGAGGGAGGTGCACAAGGAAAAGGAGTGGCCTTCTGCAGATAGTCGCTCTCCCTACCGGAGTAGTCTTCTCAGTGTGGAAGCTTATAGGAGGGAAAACAAACGAGACGTTTTGTGAAGGAGAAAGAAGAAAGCTGTCTTCACACCACATTTTCTTACAGGTATGTAATGGCAGCTCACAGACAGTGTGATTGAGTTTGAAGGAAACAGATAATTCACATTTGGGCTTTCTGTTTCTAAAACCATTCATTATGGATAATGAAAGTTCTGAGTGTGTGATTTTACCTTTCTAAAGTGAGAGTGAATGCTCCCACAAAGGTGACAGAGAGGGCGTGTACACCTACTGACATGATAGTGATAAAATTTAATGCTGGTATGTTTGATTTTTAAACTCCAGTGTTGCTTAAAAGATCAAGTAAGATGTTGAGTCTATTATGTGATTCTATTCTCTGATTGTCCTTATATACAGGACTGCAAAACGATAAATGTCGCAAGCAGTGATGGCATCAGCAGCTCCACCAAAAAGGATGGTGTCCTCTGTCTTCATCACTCTGGCATCTCCTTACCAAGCCACTGTGACACAGCAGCAGCCCACCCTCCAAGCTCACAGTGCCCCGGCCATAGACAAGCAGCACTCTGCTGTACGAGTCGGCCCAAATGACAGCGTTCCCGCCCCCAGGCATAAGAAAGAAGATCACTCACCATCCAAGTCTTATGGAAGTATAGAAAGCAAAGACAGGACTCATGCAGGGTCCTTAGCAGGAGCTTTAAGCCCTCAGACTCCCAAATCCACCCAGTCTGGGCCCAGCAGGGGGAAGCAGCAGGAAGACAACAGAGGTGCTGCAGGTATTCTTGTCAAATCTTGAATTTTATGCAAAATAGTGCACTGGACAACTCATATGTTTCAGATTTGTCCTTTAGAAGTCAGCATATGAATTATTTGTTAAGGTGGTGTGATTCCTGATTCATAAATCATATATCATTGCTCTTTTTGGGGTCTTCCACAGAAAAATGTGATGCCATTGCTTTCCTGACCTTTACTGATGGGGAACCAATTTTACACGTCACTCTGGTCTTGATGATTTCTACTATGTGAAAATAATTGTAAAACATCTTTTGTGGGTCCAGATGGAACTGCACAAAGGTTGATAAATTGCCTTAGGTGATGGCACTTGAGTCAGCGTCTATTGGGTCTGAAGACTACAAGTTTGAACAAGTGAAAAAAATGTGAAGGTGTGGAGTCAGAAAGAACCGAGTTTATCAGACCTCTGCAGCCCATTCCTCAACTCTGCTTGAGGCCCGTGGCTCAACGCTACACAGGTCACTACTAGCATAACGGTAGCATGATCTCCACCTCAATGTCACCAGTAGAGTTGCATCATGGGTAATGTAGGGGGAAAATTTTGACAAGGACAAAGAATGTGGAAGTAAAAAATGAGAGAGATCTATGGTTCTTCTGCTTTAACTGTCACATTGTGCCTCTGAAATGTCATGTTACATTAATGTTATTAAAACTGGAAACATTTTTTACTTTCTCTTTCTACTGCCGGGATTCAGGATGTCTTGTGTGCTCTCAGGTTGGAAATAATAAAGTATTATCTATGAAGAACTGCTAATTTAATCATATTTGGCCTTTCTGACTACATAGGCTATGAGTTGCAAAAGACATACTTAGAAGACATAAGCCCATAAACTTCCATTTCTCCCCTTTTTCCTTTTCATTGTCATTGTTTAGTCATTATTTTGTTTATTCTTTATTTTAACTTGTTTTTCCAGTTCATTCATTTAAATTTTTGGGTGGCTTTATTTGTATGTATATGGATGCGTAAGTATTTTGGGGGTTTCATATATTTTTAACCTGAATTACCAAATGTTGGGAAATTTCAGTGCTTACTACAAGAAAAATTACATAAACAGCATGGGAAATGATATGTTTCTGTGAAAGTAACTACAAAGTGACTTGAAGTAAGTCTTTCTCTTGCCAAACAGAGCTCTTACCCCCTCCACCTCCACCTCCACCTCCTGCTGCATTGCCTTCATCTCTGGGAACAGTGCTCTCTGAAGAATCAGCACTTCCACCACCTCGTTCTGTCCAGACACCACTCTCCCACCCTGTGACCCCAGGCCGGCAGCCAGTTTACAACAGAGAGGTATGCAGACTTTTCTCACAGTGTTGCTGAAAATCTGCATCACCCATACCTTCATGTTTACCACTAATGTAATTTGCTGTTTTGAAAACTTGATCCCAGTTTTGCTCAGTAAATTCGGCTTGAAGTGAACAAGCCATATTTTCACAAAAAAAGCACTTTCCAACCTATTGATATCTTTAAAAAAAGCTTTTTTGTTCCCATTAGCAGTGCTGAATCTCAACATGTAGGTCTTTCCTTTTCTTGTACCAATCTTCTGATATTACATTGCTTTACAGTGATTGTTTTCATTGTATCATAGTCTTGTATACCTCAATGAATCATTTTAGAGGCACCTCATATTTTTCTGCAAAGTTAAAACAATTATCCAACTTCTTTCCACTCTGAAAAAAAAATGCACAGCATTAGGTGTAAGAGATTCAGTTTTCCCTTGTTTAGTAGTTCTAATATTAACTACAGAGAAGGTAAACATTGATGTGACTCAGCATTCCACCTTTAGAAGTGACTTTATGCTAGTAGAGCATGAAATGACAAGCTTACTCATCCATGACATTCAAGGATAATCAGAATCTGTATTTGTATTAAGTTTCTCTCAGTTAAAAGGAGTTCAATATGGGCCACAGTGAGCCATTTGGAACAAGTAGTTTAAAAATGCAACAAAAGAAGATTTATAACTCAACAGCATTTTAAACAGAACCGTTAACACCCTGAAAAGGTGACACACTGTGAAATTTATAGTGTATATCAATGTACTGCAATCTTAATTTTCTTGGATTAATCTCATTTCAGCTTGTAACTTTTACAGCAATTCTTAGTCTTTCCTCTTTCTAACATCAATCATGACCCCTGAATATTCAGAACTGAGTACTGCTAAATGGTGCAGTTCACCTTATAAGGCCAGATCCACCTGTAAACTTGTCAGTTGTCTCAGTTTAAAGTTTAGTTTTACATTAACAATGTGCTTTAAGGTGGAAACAAGGACACCATCTAGCGGGTTATACCAAGATGAACAATCCCATGGGATCCATAAACACAGTCAAGACACTAACAGGGAGAGTAAAGGTAACCTGATCTTTGTTTACACAGTTACCACTCAAGCTTTCAACTGTTCTGCTCCAGCAGCACACACATTATTATAACCTGCTTTGGCATTTGATGTTTGTGTACAATGCAGAGGTGTGTGGCTTCTGTCGGAAGCTCGTGGCTCTCTCTGAACCTGCAATAGAAGCCTTAAACAGGACTTACCATGAAGCTTGCTTCCAGTGCAGATCTTGTCACATTGCCCTGGCTGGTAAACAATACTACAACAAGGCAGGAATTCCACTCTGTGAAGACTGCTACCAGGTAGATCCACTAATATGCAGATATGTATGAAAATCTTTGTAAAGATCCACACCAGTGTTTTTGCATGCTCATTTCTATGATTGACATTAATACTGTTTTCCAATAGAGATTAACATTTTTGAATTGTGGTTACCTTCCTGGCATCCACTGGTTTACATTACTGTACTTTCATTTCAGCATTACAGTCAACTTTTAGCTGCTGTCTTTTAATAAAGCAGTTTGCTCCATTAACCATTTATTCCCGTGTCTTAGGCTAGTCTGGAGCTTTGCTGGACATGCGGAGAGGTTATCACAGATCATGTGATCCGTGCACTGGAGCGAGCGTACCATCCTTCTTGTTTCACCTGTACAACATGTAAAAGGCAAATTGGAGAGCAAGCTTTTGCTCAGGGAGAAGTTGGAGAAGTGTATTGCCTCCAGGACTACTACAGGTATGAAAATTAAAATTGATGGCAAGCTTTACTGGGAAAACATCCTTTATACAACTGACCAAAGAGAGTTTGAATTTCATTTTATTGAGTTGTCATTTATTTTGCTTTTCATAGTGCCTTAAAATGTTAGTCTAATGTATCTTTTAACCTTTTTAACCTTGTGTAAATCAGTTCAAATTATCTCTGTGTCTGAAAGGTGCTACACAAATAAAGTTGCCTTATGTATCATTTTCTTTCCTCTAAAATTTTGTCCATGAAGGAAGTATGCCCCAAAGTGTAGCAGCTGTAACCAGCTAATCATTCCCAAAGAGGATGGTACTGACAGCTTCACTGTTGAATGTCTGGGACGCTCCTACCATGAGAACTGCTACAGATGTGAGGTAGGTGTTCAAATAGTGTACTGTATGGACCCACTGATAAGTATGAAAACATACAGACAAACATTAATCACCATCTGTTAATAAATATTTCATCTTATCTACAGGTCTGTATTATCCAGCTTTCTCCTGAGCCAAATGAGCGTGGCTGCTATCCACTGGATGGTAAGATGCTTTGTAAATCTTGCCATCTGAACCTGGTTTCTGGTCAGCAATAACGCTGACCTTATAGCATGGGGCAAACTGCAAAGGACTGAAATCGACCCTGAGTCCAAATTTTAAGAGATGAGAGAAGGTGCATGTGCCTTTAAGACTCTAGTACATAAATGTCACAAATATTTTTAGTAATTGAATATGTTACCTTTTTTAACAATATATCATTTCCTGAAGATCATTGTATTCCTCTTTTATACTTGTTAATTTTGCACTCAATAAACTCAACAAAATGCACCAAATATATTTATGCAAGACTTATTACATTTTTCTTAATCCAAATTAGTATACTGTTTGTCATTCACATTAACCCTTTATATTAAAAAAAAAACAAACAAACTTATATATAAAAAACCTATATAAAAGGGAACTAATATATTTTATCTTGAGGCAAGCTTCAACATAGGCTACATAACATTTGTTAAATTACACATACACTATTGATATGTTTTAAGATTACAGAGGAGGAAGAGAGAAAGATTACAGTTTAAACAGTGATTGTGTAGCTGCTAAGCCAAACCACAGCTAAACTAAATCTTTAGATAAAATGAAAACATTTTCTTGAATGTAAAATACAATATGTATCATTACTGTCCAAGAACAGTTCCTTATCTTTCTAGCAGGCAAAAGACCTTTGGGCTCGACGCTGCAGAAACTTAATCCAGGCAGCCACCTGAATTCATGATATGACAGACTGAATGTAATCCCTCTTCAAATCTAATAATTTTACTCACCTGCTCAGACACAGCAGGTAAAAAATAACCATTGGCAAACCCACTAAACAGAAACTAAACCGAAAAGACACTCTGCTCTTTCACTAAACCCCTTTAGCTATTGTAAAACAACATTTGTGGTAAAAATTTGTAAGCACAACTGAATAGTAACATTAGAGCTGTTATAAAGCCATGTATAATAGAGCACAATAAATGATCCTGAAGCACTCACTATTGACCAAAACTTGAAGGTGCTTTTGATGTAATTACATCTGCATTTTTAACATGTAAAGCTTTTCACTGGACCGCACTTCACCTAACAATGGCACTGTTCATAATGATTTGGCATTACAATAATAACATCTCATTCAGATCCCAGCTGACTATTTTTGTTTATTTATTTCATGTATCTCAAAATGTCTTGTTTATGGAATTATATTTCTGTGTATCAGAAACATCTATTAAAACATTTTTATGGACAAGGTAAAGCTGTCGTCTATGTATGTGTCTATTCACCACACCACAGTTTTTTCTTACTTTTCTTTTTCAATGTAAATTGGAATGATGGTTTGCTAGCCTGTTATCTGTTTGTGAACATTTCACTGATATGTTTACTATCCACATATTAGCAAATTGCCAAATACATAAATCAAAAAGATTTTATCATTAACTTAAAATTAAATGTAATCCTTCAAGACACTTTTGCTGTTGCAAAACATTATTAGTGCTGACATGAATATTAGTTTTGTCAGGAAAAAATGACTGCTCTATCCACATTTCTTGCTGACCTGCACAAACCCTTTGTCTGAGCTGGACATGTTTTTGACACTTGCTTAGTGAGCCAAAAACACACCGGTGTGCTAGTGGCATTTCTAGGAGTTTTTATATGAGTAGGAGCATATTTTGGTGCTGTGGCTCAAGTTGCATCTTTGTTTCCTGTTCGTGTAGCCATTGAGCTACCATCTTTGTTGTGATTTGGAAAATAAGGCGCAACTGGGAAATGGGTTAAAAGTCTTTACCATTCAGCTTGTGGAAATTCACCCAGATGGTTAGAACGGTTTTTGGAGATTCTGGAAGTACCTTTAGAACAGTGACAGGTTAAGTGTTTTAAACAACCATTTTGGTCTTTCAAACATCTGTGGTTAATTCTCTTTTAGACAAACTAATTGTTACTTCTGTGACCTAAATACATGAGCGGCACAAAATGGGGCTATTAGCAATTGTTTGTCACCTATGTACAAAAAGCAATCACTGGTTTTGTAATAATCACTTCACAATGAGTGATTAAGGGAACAAGCCTCCAACCATGCCCAGATTAACCTATTTGGATCCCTGGCTCTAAAATTTGCTGTTGGGCCCTTTATGCCTCCCAGTTTCCATTAGATAGGCCTACTGTACACACAGCACACTATACATGGCAAAAACAGTGACACAGTGGGGTACTAGGACTCAATGGGTCTCTTGGTACCCAATCCAGTGTTGCCTCAAGCCTTGTTTTAAAGGATTTGCCAATTTATATATTCGGCAGTAAAGACATAATTCAACTTTTATCAAATAATTCAACAACAGTTCAACATTTATATAATACATACACGTTTGATGATGACATTTGTCCTTTAACACTTGGGATTTATTCTAATAAATAACCAGACAACACCGCAGGGGCGCTGCAGATTCCTCCTGAAGAAACTGCGTACTCGCTATTGTACGTGTGCGCACCGACTTCGTGGCCGCGCAACTCGCACCGAAAACCGACATCAACGAGTCAGATGCGCGTTCGTGTGTGTGGCTCGAGGGCGCAGGAGCTAAGGCAGTACGGGAGTAGGTTATCAGGCCCAGAGCGGTCACGAAATCTGTTGGCGTTCATTTTGTTCAGGCGGACCTCCGACCGGCAGGGATTAGAAACGGGCGAGATCATATGTGCGTGAAGGGGGAAATAATAGCACATGATGGTTCGGGAAACCAGACACCTTTGGGTGGGAAATTTACCCGAACATGTTCGCGAGGAGAAAATTGTGGAATATTTTAAACGGTAGGTTAACGTTACGCAAGAGGTATCCCCGAAGCAGCGCGCGTTTAGCTGTAGCGCTAACGTTAGCTGGGCAGCCTGCGACCAATGCTAATTCAGCTAATGTTAGCATTTTAAGTTTTACAAATCATATTTTTTCTTTTGTACTACCTGCGATGTATTGCAACACGGTTACACTTGTTGAAGAGAAATAACGGTAGTATAACCACTCAAATGTAAATGTTTACAATTTATAATGTTTAGCCAACTTTTTGCTAACATCAAGAGGCAAGTAGCGTTAGCTAGGTTTGCTAGCCGCTGAGCTACCACCCAGCCAACCATTTTGTGGGAAGTCGAGACGTCTTCATGATCAGTACAAGCCCAGGGGCAGCTAACGTTAGCCGGACATAGGTCAAATAACAGTTTGTGACTTGTATTATTTGGAAACATCTGACACATAACGTTAATTCCCTAACTTTTAGTCAACAGAGGTCAGCATTTTATCAGATAAATATCAAAAGGTAAACAAAGATTGTCCGAGACCGATCACTGAGCCCGTTGAGCTGATAATAAAATATTAGCAAGTTGTTGAGCTGCTTGACGTCGGTACACAATATTTACAGTCATCTAAGATACTCGTTGTTGGCAAGTTACAAGTAAAGTTCAGGGTTTGCTACCACTACCTTACCTTACCAGACCTTACATTTAGAGAGAGCTAATAGCTTGAACTTTTATGCTTTCTCCTGTTCATATGAGTCATTTAAAGCAATGTCACGTTATATGCTAATTTTATTTGTTACTTAATCCGAAGTCCACTCAGTAACTCGTCAGCAAACGTATCTACAACATGGCAAACATGTCCAATTACAGTTATGTGGAGCTATATTGGTACATTTCTTTTGGTCTGATGACAGCTGTGTGATTTAGGATAATGTTATTTTATAGTTATAAACCTTGAAATATGGCATGTGTGAGATACCAGAAAGTTGTTTGAAAAATAGTAATACTTTAATTTTTCTGTTTAGAAACCTCTAGGCATTACCAACCTTATAACACCAAGCTTTGTCATATAGCATAAGAACTGTAAACTTAAGACACTTTCTAAAGTTGAGACAGTTCCTTCCTGTCGGGTTGCATAAAAGGAAGCATTAAACCTGCTTGCTTTATAATTGGAGAAGAATTATCACTGTTTGCCTGTGTGTCAGTGCCTCTTAGACAAACAGCTGCACTTTCTTAATTCTTTACTGGTGTGAATATAATTTTCTCTTTGTTTTTATTGTAATTTTCTCTCAGGTATGGGCGTGTGGAGAGTGTTAAAGTTCTCCGAAAGCGAGGGTCAGAGGGTGGTGTTGCAGCTTTTGTGGATTTTGTGGATATCAAAAGTGCGCAGAAAGCTCACAATGCTGTCAACAAGATGGGAGACAGGGACCTTCGGACTGACTACAATGAACCCGGGTCAGTTCCTAGTGCTGTACGGGGCCTAGAAGACAGCTCCCCCTCGAGCAGTCGAGACGTTACAGGGTTCTCTTTTGGACCACCTGTGTCCCTTCACACCAGAGAGGGACGTTATGAACGGAGAATAGATGGGTAAGTGGACACAGCCTCCCCATGAAATCCAGGGGAATCTAGGTATTGGATAGGTGTTAAACCTAAACACATAGTGGGGTCATTCGTGAGGGATAGATGCCTCAAGGGGGTTGCACAAAGGTAATCTAGGGATCGTTCCACTTTTCATCATAACTGACTCACCTTTCCCATGGGATCTAAGTAAATTAACTATACACTATCATTTGGTAAGGTAACTATAATTCAAGGTTTGACATCTGGTTTGGATATTACATCTGTGAGGAATATCCTGGTGAGTGTTGGATTTATTACGTTTTGTGGGAAACTGCCTCCCGGGAGCTTTTGGATTTTTAAAACCATTTTTCTCCTCAACATGGGATATATCCTTGATTTTTACTTGGAATCACTTGAGGCTGGAAATAAATCCCTGATATGAAGGATGCACTTTTCTTTGAAGAGTCTCTCCAGGTAATAAATCAAAAATTCATGGTCCTACCACCTGGTCCTGCCAACAATGGAGTACTTTTATCATTTTTGCATCTGCGGATACTGCATTTTCTGGATTTAAGTTTTGAACAAATGGATGGAAGAACTTGTTACATATCACCAGAAAGAGTGATGTAGTATGTATTTCCTAGGCTATCTCAATTGTTTTAGGATGAGATTAACTATATATCATTAACACTTTCTGTCCCAAATACGGAAGCTATACCAAGAAGAACAAAGAGCACTAAGGATCCAAACAAACAACTAGCAGCGTTTGTGGATCTGTTGTTTTGGATTGATGGCCATGAAGACACGTGAAGACAGGATAGTTGGGATGTAATTTCCTGGATGTATGTGATACGATACCCCTTATTGGATGTACTGATGTGGACCCTAGTCTTGATAGGTGTAGCTGCCATTCATTTGGATTACTCAAATGTGGATGTGGCTGTGTAAGGTCTCAGTGAAGAGAAGAGCACTCACATATGGTACCGAAAGCTGAAGACAACCTTTTCAAGGTGTCTTGAAACATTACTACAAATCATCTAGTTCATACAACTGATGGGATCTGTAGATTGTGGAATTATGTTGTCTCAACAAGCCTATGAGGATTTTGTGCTGTGATCATACTGTTTGCGAGTCTACCAGCTTATGTGACGTTAGACTACTTGACATTTACCCCTGGAATACATTTTTGATCCTTTTTTGGGACATACTACTTTCTCATACTAGAAGACAAGACTGAACCATTTGGAGATATTTTCAGTTTGAGCACAGTCTTACCATTTAGGCAACCTGGAATGCACTGAAATACCCGAAGTTACTCATCTTTATTTTTAAGTGCATTTATTTATTGAGGTTTTATGTTACTATGTTTTTTCCCTCACATGTCCTGAAATCCATACAGAGGTCAGTTTCTGTGGTTGTTTTATTTTTCCCTTTTTCCATCCAGTGAAGAGAACAAAGTAGCCTAAATGTGGATTATACATCAACAATGTACTGGCCGAGTGCTCCACAGTATTTGAAGATAATGTGCAGTACGATTCAAGAGAACAATTTTTGCCAAATTAGATCAATTGAATTTTTTTTTTTTTTTTTTTTCCCCTTGATTTTTCATGTGGGCTCTCACATTCTGACCACCTAGTTTTTATTTGGATTAGTTTTGGTAACTTCTTTTCCAAAAGGTTGGTATTGCTCTGCCCTCTGCATATTTTCTTTCTCTAACCTACTGTAGTGCTTTGTCTAATACCAGGTTTTGCACTGCTCTTACTTTGATGCAAAAGAGGAAATGTATATTTTTCTAAAATGCATTTATAAAATATGCTTATGTCATTTGTGTA